TTAATTTGGCTCAGGTTTCAGAGTGTCAGTCATTGATGGCTGGGGTGAGGACATAGAGCAGCTCACATCATGGCAGGGAGAAGGAGAGAAAAGGGGCATGGATAAGAAGGAGCCAGGGCAGGATATATTCTCAGAGACATTCCCTTGTCACGTACCTTCTCCACTTCCTCCTCTTTTCCATCTCCCAATCATGTCAATAGATTAGGTATCCATCAATGGATCAGTGAATTCAAGAGGTCAGTGCCATCTGTATCTGATTGTCTCTAGAATTCCTTCATAGGCATACGCAGAGGTGTGTGTTACCAATGACATTAGCATTTCTTAATCCAAGCTGACCCTTGAAATTAAGGCACCCATCACAGGGCCTGAAGAGTGCAAAGGCCATCTTGGCCCCTTAAGAGGATAGCTCTGCAGCTGGAAAGGAGAGGGTGGAGGCAGGGATGCTGCTGTTGATCAAGAAGATGTAGAAATGGTGGTGGCCTGAGCTGGATCAGCAGCTTGCTTAGGATTTTGTTCTATGTATGGTTGTTTCAGAACACAGGGGCAGAAGTTGTCTATAGAATAGGGAGGAGAGGGGAAGAGTTGTCTCTGTCCCTGGTGAGTAGACTTTTCTCCTAGCCCCCTGTCTAGGGTGTTCCCTTAGTATTTAGGTGAAGAGCATGGGCCTGGGAGTTGGGCTCACCTCCCTTTGAAGTCTTCTTACTATGCTTAGTAGCTGCGTGAACTTGGAACGTTGACTTCACTTCTCTGAGTACTAGTTTGCCTCTGAACCAAATTAAAGCAATGATCTTCCAGGGCTCAGAGGTGCCTGTGGCTGGTCTCTAGGAAGCACTTAGTTCACAGAGAGTGGCTGGCTTATGTTGGTGCTTCTACCATAGCTTCTGTCTGGTCTAGAAAGAGAATGCATTTTCAACTCTTGCATCATTTTCATGACAGGTGCTGTGTCAAGGTTCCCTTCTCCAGGGAGGAAGAGAAGCAAGAGGGAGGGATGAAGTCTGTACAGGGTCAGAGTCTGAGCTAAGCCCCCATGAGTATAAAGCTAGAACCTCAGTGGTATTTGGCCAACATGTCCCTCCGGATCCAGATGCTGTGTTGCCATGCTCCCTTAGTTGAGAAAGTTCTTTCTGGATTGTTCACCATCAGGACCCACAATGCCTATTTCCAAGGAAGCATACAAGCTCCAGGTCTAGATTATATAGAATGCTGTTTGAGATCCTGATGGATTTTCTAATCTTTTTTTTTTTTTTTTTTTTTTTACCACTGTGTCTTTGTGGCCAAATGGAGACAGTAACAGCACTAGCTGAACAGGGATAGAGAAAATGACTGAAGGTGCTACTCATCTGCCAGCATGTTCCCACACAGCTACGGCTCCCATTCATGCTGCTGCTGATTCTTCTATTTACTGATTATTCTCTCCTGATGCCCCACCGTGACTTCTTCAGTCCTCTCATCCAGATCTGTCTCATCTGCCAAGGATGCCAATGCCACCTTCACCAAGCTTGAAGCCCACACTAAGCCCCCATTTGTTTAGCTTTGACCTTACAACAAACAAGATTGGGGTGGTTGCATGTTTTATATCAGCTGCTGACCTCACATCAGTTTCCTTTCATGATAGTGTAGCCCTAATGTGTCTGCATAAAGGCCATGTCTGAACTAAGGAAACCCATTCCTACCCCATCATTGGAAATGGGCCTGGGTCAGGTGCTACACTAGAGGCTGGTCAGCTATTGCATAGGTTGGGGGGCATGAATCAACATAGCAAGTCCCTTGGGCTCCTTTCACTGGAGGGGTTTTTAGCAATGATGGGCAGGGCAGACAGTCTAGTCACTAAACATGAAGATACACTGTATGACACAGAAGGAAAGATCAACCTTATATTTCATCATCCACCAGAAAATGACTGGGACAGCTTAGTATTTTGTGGGTAGCATTTCCTAACTTTTATATCCTTGCAAATTTACCCATTAAAATAAGTGAGATTATTATACATGTATATAACATGTTATATAATCTATAGTATATAGTCTACTTTGAGATGTTATTCCCCTGAACCTCCATATTGGAAACACAGACCCCCTAATTTAGGGTAGGTGGTGTGAAGGTGAATATATAAATCACTGGTGTGCCTCACCCCTCTATGAAGCCCTCCTGATCCCTCCACTACTCAGGAAGCACTCCTTTTAGATTCTCATTGATGCCAGAGTATGTTTTCAGTGCAGAGCTAAAGCATAGATGGATGATGAGTTAAGTAATTCTGTTCTCTATTCCTTCTTCCTCCCATCTTCCCTCTATCCAGCTTGCCACATCCACTAAAGCTGAATAGTTAATATCTTCTTGCTGGCTTCCCTCCTTCCCTTGTACCCAGTCATGTGCTCACCTTTTCCCACGAATCCCCAGGTGCTACTAAGAGATTCTCCCTGCACAGACTCAGGTAAGAGCTGTCAGGGTCTCCACAGAATAGGAATCCCCAGTCTTCCCCTCTGCTGCTGACTCATTAAATTCTGAGCCGAAGAAAACTAGAGAATTGAGTTGTGGAGTTTGGTTTTAAATTGCTGGCTTCCTTCTGGGGTGGTTTGGCTTTCTTTGGGCCCCTTCCCCTCCCTGTCCTCGCCAGTCCCCTAACTCATTGGGGAGGAAGTTGAGGATGAAAAACAGGTAGTGAGATGGCGATGGTGAAGATGGGGCTTTGGGATCTGGGCAAATTTGGTGACAGTGACATGTAGTGTGACAAAAATCCTGGTTTGGGTGTCCGAGATCTATATTTTAACTCTGCCTCTGATTCTATTGCCCCGTAGATAGAGGCCCTTGTCCTCCCAGCAGTAGGCAGCAAGGTGCAGCCTGTTCTGACTTTCTTGGTCAGACATGGCGTCCCTTCTCTGCTCTCTCCTCAGCCATCACCACACATGAACAACAAGTCTCACTGCAGAAGGATGGCCCTTCCACTGCTTCTGGTTTTCGTGACTATGTGTTCTTACACCTAGTATTGGGCTCTCTGTGAACTGCTGTGCAAAGGCCTTCTATTGACACTTTTATGTAGCCTGTGAATCCTGGATAGGTGGGCCACACAGCTGCAGAATGTCTCAGGGACTTGGCGTTCTTATCCATAACATGGAAATCAAGGGATGATGGCAGCACTAGATGGTTTTGTAGATAAAATGCAAAAAGCCAGTCAAGTCCAAAAACAGAGCCTGACATCCAGGAACCCCAGGGAGGATGTGCTTATCATCGTAGTATTACTGTGGCTCACCACCTCCCTTCTGTCACTTCAGAGAAAAAGAGTCACTCAGCTGCCCCTGGCTTGAACCCTTTCTCTTCTCAACCAAGGAAGAAACTCTCAAGTAGAAGACTTCCAGTTTCAATGCACACACATGTCCCCATATTCAGTGCCATTGACCACAGGATGTCACCGGAACACAGACCTGCTGCTAGGAACAGTGGCCCTGGCTGATGAGTGATGGCCATTGCCATAGTGTGATGAGTACAAAGGTCAGAGAGACCTGGGCAGGGAGCCCACATGTACTTCAGGCATACAGGCATACCACTCCACCGCTTTCACCCTGTCTTTTCATCTCACTGGACGGGTTGTACCCCTTTACATGATCATGCTTGTTCACAGCCCAACCATGAGGTTTGCATGAGCTGTGAAACTGGGATATGTCCATGTCCACACTGTATGTGACACAGGTACCTACCCTGTCCTTCATAGACTTGCCATTGCACTGGGGGCCTTTGACTGTCTCCACAGCAATGCAGCCATGGGGAAGTCTTGATACCCAAGCACCTTTCAGCCTCAGGCTTCAAGCACACAACTGAGAAAAGCAACAACATACAAGGAAGGGCCACACATTCCTGAAGAGCTTTCTTTCTTTCTTATTTTTAATGAAAAAGAAATAAGAAAAGCAAACAACACTTCTCAGCGTGTGCTGTGATAAGACACCACAGCCATATAAAGTAATTTACAACACCAAGAGAGAGCAGTCCCAGAGGCTGTGCTCACAGCCTCCCGGCCCTCAGAGGGCAGAGGACCCCTCCCTCGAGGCCATTGTTTCTCAGACAAGTGTCCACCTCTCCAGGGCTATAAAAAGGGACAGCTTATTCTGCTTATTTGGCCTCAATTCTCTTGGAAGCCCAAGCCATATCTTCTTCACTGGCCCATGACACACACACACACAGGAAGCAGGGGTTTACGAGATTTTGTGGGTGGGAGGTACTGGGATGGGGGGTTGGGTTGCATACCACTCTTCTCACTGACCTCTGGCTCTGTTCAAGTTCTGAGGGGGGCTAGGAAAGTGAGGCCCTGTATTGCACCTGCTAGAGGTACTTTGCTGGGTATCCTGCTGTTAGCTTCCCCTCTTGAGTGGCAGCTAAAGGAGTGCCTGTGTAAGCTGATGCAAGAAGAAAAGGGAGAAGTAGGGATGAGTCATGCTCAAGTTGGTATTGAATTCTCATGGGTAATCAGAGGGCAGTGGGAGGTATACATGCACTTGCCATAGCCAGCTTCTTATGCGGACCCCTCCCAGTTCCTCCATCACTGCCTCCTTTGATCCAGTCTTTGAGGTTTACTCAGACCCTGCTTTGACATCTTTCTCTGTGATTTTCATGACCCCCAAAAGGCCCACAACATTCTCAAGCCTTAATTTCATGATCTAGCAAATGGAGAGGGTCACATGAACGTCAAAGGATGACTGTACAGAGTGTGACCATGTCATTAAAAAGTCCATGGCAGGACCCAGCACATAGTAAGTGCTCAAAGGGCCGCATCATTGTGGCAAGCTGACACTGGAATGCCCACTGTAGCTACCAAATCTGTGTCAATTTGGATGTGATAATCAGAATTATCAGACAGTGTTCTAGAAAGAACACAGGTTCTTCCTAGCTTCCTGTGCTGTCAGTGAAGTTCAAATGCCTCATATCTTGGGGGGTAGTAGAGAGTCTGTCTGGAGGACCTCCATTGCTTTCCCCTTGACCGTTGGTTCTGTGGGCCAGAAGCTGTTCTGTCCCTAGACTTCGGTGCCTTCCCTGGGGAAGAGAACACTGTTGGTGTTAATGCTATTGTAGAAATGTGGGCTGAATTGGTTGAGGACAGAGCCTCCATAGCCTAGAGCATTGGTGGGTACTTTGCTGGCCCATTCACTCCCATTCCCATGGCTACTGAGGTTGGTGAGGGGGGTGTAGGAGTTGAAACTCAGTGAATTATGCCCCATCTTGTCAGTAGGCTCCGGGCTCAGTCCTGGTGTGGCCACCGAGCGGCTCATGGGGTTTGTCCCACTCACATAGGCTGTCATGGTGGAGAGGAAGTTGTTGAGGCATGGAGTGCTTGACGGGGCAGGGGAGGAGCGCTTCTCTGGGGAACTAGTGGTGTCCGGTGAGGCAGTGTCTAAGTCCTGAGGCTCTGTGGACTTGGGGCTGCTTGCCAGGAGACTGTTCTCCGTTTTCTCTGATGCAAAGGCTCGAGGAAGCGTCTGATTTTCTCTTCCTTTTCCTGCGGAAGTTTCCATTGTCAAACATCTTCTCACAGTTGGGGTCCAGAGTCCAGTAATTCCCTTTGCCTGAGACAAAAGTGGGAGAAGTTAAGAAAACAGAGAGATGGACACAAGGCCTCATTCCATTCATCTGCAACATTATAAACAAAAATCAAGGGCAACAATGCAAAGAAAAGAGCAAAGCCTGGGACAGAAATGGAGAAATTGCATAAACATCTGCCCACCCTACCACACCTCTCTCTAAGCACACCCTACACACCTATCTTTCTCTAAACATACCTGCACTACAATCCACCTCTCTCTATGCACTCCTTCTGCACATCCATCTCTCTCTAAATAGCCCCCCTCCACACACACACACATGAGGCTTCCGGGAGTGTACAGAAACACAGCTTAAGGCCTAAAGGACTTTACAAGATTGATCCCTGTAAGGGTAAAGTGTGGGGGTACAGGGATCCAGGGAGTGGTGGGGTACTAGTTGGGGCTTCTACTTATTACTACGGTTCAGGAAAAGCCAGGGAACAGTCTGGACTCCTGGAAATGCATCTTGAAGATGGACTTGAGCCCTAGCTTTGCTCCTCAGTGACAAAGGACTTTGGATAAATCTGTTTTCTGGGCTGAAAAATGCTCGTTTCCTCAGACTCACTATGGGAAAGGACAGACACTACATGTGTCCAAGAGCCATGCAACTGAGGTGCCACCAAAAGGGATGCCCCAACAGTTCCCTGATACTCTGAGCTGGAACATGGGGGAAGACCTTGCATGGGACAGTCTCTACTCAGAGGGACAAATGGATTTGACAAAGGCTGACTTCAAAGGTGGCAGAGGTAGGGTTCCAAGCCATACCCTGGCTTCCTGTATGGAGAACCAAACTAGACTTCAGTTCTGGAAACTAGATTCAGGATTATTTTACACTCTTCTCTGAAGTGTCTGTGGCTCATCATATGAAAGGGACATTCCAGTCTCAGTAACAGAGCTGTGTTTAAGTCAAGGGTCATCACTACCACTCCAATCTATGTCACTTTGAGAAGTCAGCTTCACCCCGAATGCTATTTTCCTCATCCGAGCAATGGGTTCACTAAGAGACACCCTGCAGGGTGCTGCCAGGATTAAAGGAGGATCTGAATGGAGGGGAGGACACTCAGAGCCATGCCATGAGGCCATCAATGGTACCTAACCAAGGCCAGGTCCTCTCCACTACAGGGGTGGCTACAACACACGTGGGCTTACCTGGGTCGTCCTCATCTCGGGGCACCTTCTTGAAGCAGTCGTTGAGTGACAGGTTGTGGCGGATGGAGTTCTGCCAGCCAGCCTTGCTCTTGTTGTAAAAGGGGAAGTTGTCAGCCACATACTGGTAGATCTGGCTCAGTGTGAGGCGCTGGTCAGG